GTTCAATCTCTCGCTGTGCATTTCGCTTGTGTCCTTAGGCAAGGCACTTTCCCACCGCCTCTCTTCACCCAGGAGTATAAATATCTGGTAGGCTTAAACACAAAATGCACCGTTTAAATCTGCAACATAATGGAATTCTCACCAGGGAGCTGTGTATGTGTTCAATATGTGCTTGATCCAATGACCAGGGGTAGTAATGTGAAATGCTTAGAGGCCTTATTGGCATGAAGCACTATAATCAGTATAACATATTATATTTTAAGTAGGCCTGCAACATGGGTCATGTGCTTGTTAATGCATGCATTAAAAAGCAGTAATTGTCTCCCAGTATGTGGAACACATATCACCAGTAGATATTGGTAAGCTCTGCAACTCCCTTCATTATACATACCTTGCAATTTCTATACTGCTAGTAAAGACATTATGAATGTAAAATTGTTGTAGAGTTTCAGCACATAAGTTCATACACAGTTGGTCCAATTTATTACACTACAAGAAAATAAATATCAAGTGAATAACTGAATCAACATATTGCAAGTATATAAACACTTAACAGGTTAAAAAAAAAAATTTATTTTGATTTTACAGAACTGTTTAAATTCTAATAGACAAGATGTTTGTAAGTTTACTCAGGGAGCAGTTAAATTTACTTTAAATCAATTACTTATTGTAAGTATACGTTAAAATATATACATGTCTGATATGAGAAAGTTTGATCAAACATTTTGAAGTCTGACAAACAAAAATCTGATAGCATGGCATGTTATTTCATATCACATATCATTTATTCCGCCATTCACATAAATACAAGAAACATATGAAGACATGACATATTTAAATCATAACAAGAATGTAAACACAGCCTCAGTTGATACCAGACACGATTGCTCAAAAGTTCACTGCCCAGGAGCTCTCTGCATATCAGCCAATCAAAATCAAAATTATTATTTCATGTTATAATATTAAATATAGGTCTATGTAAATAATTATCAGTAAAGCATTATATATAAAAATAATTAATACACAGTTTAAATAATGGTTGGTACGTTAATATATAAAGGACTTTGTAGTTCTTACATTGAGATTTTGGAAGCTAGGCATGTCGACTAATCCAATGAAACCCTCGCCTGGGAAACTATGTGAGCTGGTGGAGTGAGTCGCAGAACTTTTTGAAGTCACTGGGGAAGACTGCTGCAGTGGTTTGATAACAGAGTCTGGAGGGGAAAAAAAAATTATTTGATAATACATTCAATTTTATCTAATGTTATTTCATTGAAGCTTTTCCAAACTCAGGTTTTCTGTTACAAATTTGTATAAATTGCACATATTATGGGTATTGCCATATCACATCCTTATATGGGCATGATAATTTTAACTGTTATTTCTTTTAAGCTTTTCCAAACTCTCTGCTCTCTTTTCTGTCACAATTTTGTATGAATTGCCCATTTTAAGGCATAATGATGCCATATCACATCCTTAAATGAACATGATGTCATTATCATTATTCATACCCATATTTGGGCAAACCACAAGTATGTGTCACATAAAATAGGCCCACTATTATATGATGGAACTTTATGGCTACGTTCACACATGGCAGCTAACGGTTAGTAGGATCCAGATCACAAACATAGTGCGCTCATCTGTGCATTCATACAAGAAAATCCCCAATCCAGATACCAAGAAAATGATGATCGAATCACTGGCCACGTGTGATTGGTTGATGATAGAAATGCACTTAACTTGCTAACTGATAGCCCTTGCTAACAGTTAGCGTATCCGGATTCTATACGGTTAACACTATCCTATCGGGCATTCCACAATGTGCTAACGGTTATCGCTAATGGTTAGCTCCTGATCCGGTAACTAGGGCTCTCGTGTGACCCTGACCTATGTCCTTTTCACATTGGATAAATTTTACCAACTTGGATTCAAGTATGCATTAGGTTGTTTCCACGCCTGTGTTTAAACATAGATAGTAGGATTTTTCCATTGCATGGTCAGTTATGGAAGCATTGTAAAAAGTGAAATGGCACATGGTAGTAAATCATGCTCAGGAAGATTTTACCTAGTACGCTGTTCGCATTAGTTTATTCTTCCTGGGAAGCGTTCACTCGGTTAAACTTCAGTATGACTTGGGCAAATTGACAAGGAGAATGTTAATAATATCTACGCTGTTTGCACTGAAAGGTACTGGAAGACAAGGCTTAAAATAGCAAATTACGATTGAAAAAAAGGGGTTGTCTTATACGCATGACATACAGATTTTATATTTATTAAATCATGTTTGTCTTATGTGCAGATTGTCCATAACACGCAAATTTACTACAGCAATAAAGCTACTAATTAACGTTAGTATGAATGAACTCAATTTTAAATACGGAGAAATAAGATTTTGATGAACATTTAAAAACTCATAAAATCGTATTATACTGAAAGATTAACCTTGCATTTGGCTCCATTTTTAGCCAGTTAAATGCAGTACCAAGACCATAAAATGCAGAATTAAATATGAATTCCGACGATGAAACAGAGGGGTTGTTTTATACGTGTGACATCTTCTCGAACTCTGGGGCTGTCTTATACGCGGGTCGCCTCATACACGAGAAAAGTCTAATGTGAACACACTGAAAACATGATGCAAATATTTGCTTTGGCTTAAGAAATGCAAATGGTTCTTAGCAGGTCTACTTGGCAGAGATTGACATTAAAAGCATATTTTAAAATTGATTTTCCATTTGTAGACTACCCTCTGGAAAGTAAAATGCTCTCAGCTAAAATATTTTCCTTGAGATTGGCTTGTATTTCCAGAGCTATTACTGTAAACTTAATGTAGCGTTTAATGAGTTCAGTATCATAAACACATACCGGCACAATGGCAGGTAATTAGAGCCTTACGACCTTGCACCAGATATGACACACAGTACTACGGAACTTCCGTAGTTAGCCTATTTCATTGAAAATGTTGCCTAATTACGGCTATAAGAAAATAGTATTTTTGTGCCCGGAAATTGCACTCTCATACCTTTCAAAAATTTACCGGTAATTCTTATCAACAATAAAATACAACTATTTTTATTAATATAATTTTGGGGGTTCGATCACCCTATGAATCTGCCGCAGTAGACAAGTTGTCGGATTACTGACAAATTTGTGAAAACTAAGAAAAAATGGCCTGAAGACCTTTACCCTGTCCTGTTTGTCTCAAATTCCACATCGAATTACAGACAATTAAGCTTTCAATCTTGCATTCAAGGTATATTATTAGGTGAAATTTTTCAATTACTAAGGAAATCTGAAGGCATAGTTACGAAAATGCATTTTATTAACTTGACTATTCTGACATAATGATAGCAGAGTCTGGACAGCCAAACCAGTCACTCCTCGCAAAACATTTTTAGCTATTAATACAGGGTTAAGCAGTTAATGAAAGTTATAAAATGATTAAAGAATAATTTAAATCCGACATTTCATTATGAAACAGCTGTTTAAAGAATAGCATGTCGGCAATTACTCAGGCAGAGACCGTAACCAAATCATTAAAAAATGTATTTTTAACGTTGCAAATAGGGAAAATAACAACATAGCATGAGGTAAAGATATACAAAGTTTAGTTTAGTGCAATATAATAGATTTCGAAAATGTTGACAATCCATTATCTCCGAAACACAATTTGTGAGGAGTGACTGGTTTGGCTTGTCTTGCCACAAATGATCTGATAAATACATTAAATTTTTCTTTGAAGTCAAATCACATTCTTATAGTTATACTGCCCACTCAATGTAATGAGTTCAATGTCAGACATATACCTGCACAATGGCAGGTAATTAGAGTTTTACTACTTTGCACCAGATATGACATACTGTACAGTACAAAAACATAATGACAACAGATCTGGACCAGTCACTCCTTGCAAAAAATCAATTTTTATTTCTTATTAATACATTGTTAAGCAGTGAAATGAAAGTTATAAAATGATATAAAAGAATCATTTAAATCACACATTTCTATATGAAGTTACGGGTGCTTAACCCTTTCGCTGCGTTCCCCCGGTAATACCGGGGGCATGAAAATAATTCTTTTAAAAATTGTTCCTGTACTGCAGGCGCCCTCTATAGTTGTTTCTATGAACTGAAGGTAATTTCTACTGAATTATATGGAGTAATGACTAACTGTTGTGAAAAACTCATCTTGCAGCGATTTTTGGAAATTTTTTTTCACGATTCTGCCGACAAACATGGATTTTTGTCTGTTTTAGAATAGAATGATGAAAATAATTCAAACTATTGATTTTTTTTTAATTCATTTTATGTATCTTCACCATTATCCAGTGAAAAAAAAAAAAAAAAACAGCATCCCATAAGAATTTCTATCTTTTTTTTTACAGATTTATGAAAATAGGGATTTCCAATATGGCCACCCCAAGGTCACAATGCCACAATTCCAATTTCAATTTTTTCCCATAAGCCAACCTTTTTTCCCACCCCAACACAAAAAAACAATTTCAAAATAACCTCTTTTAGTCTTTTTTTTTTTGGCACTTATTTAAAAATAACCTTCTTCCTAAAAAGGCCCAGCAGTGAAAGGGTTAATTAAACACAGCTGTTTGAAAAACAGCATTGAGAAATAAGCATTCAATGTTTACAATTTCAGCAATTTCTCAGGCAGAGACAATAACCAAATCAATAACAATAACCAAATCAATAACCAAATAGGGAAAATAACAACATAGCATGAGGTACAGATATAAAGTTTAGTTTTAAGTGCCATAAAATAAGATTTAGAAAATGTTGACATTTCAAAACTTTTTTGGCCATTATCTCCGAAACACAATTTGCAAGGAGTGACTGGCTTGTCTTTGCCACCAATGATTTGATAAGATACATCCAATTTTCTTTGACGCCATATCACATTCTAATAGCTATTACTTTGAAATTTAATATAGCATTTTTATGAGTTCAATGTCAGACAGACCAGATACGACATACATTATGATAAAAAAATAGAGTCTGATTAAAAATACATTAAAATTCCATCTGTTATGTCTGTGAAGCAATATCACGTAGCTGTAATAAAGACACATACCAGCACAGTGACAGGTACTATAAATATTTTTTACGAAATAGAGTATGACAACATAATGATGCACTAGAACAAACAGCAGTAAGATTAGCAGATTCCTGGAAGGAGGAAAATAACATTGTATGAGGAAGCAATTTCCAACTATCAAATGTGACATGCCTGAATATGGTCATGATGACATACTACATCATTTTTTTTTCATTTCATTTCAATGCTTTATTTTAAAATCAAATCATAAAAAATAAAGTAAATTAAAATAGAATAACATTGCAGTATAAAAGCATTATTAAATAAGTAGTTTAAAAAGAAAGTTAATGCATGTGTCATTGAAGAAGAAAAAGGGTTAAGCAAAATAGAATTTTTGATTCTTAAATTTTATTTCAATTTTTTAATGTTTTACTAAAATTTTGTATACTGAATTTTACTGGTGAAATTAGTTAACAAGTTTGATTGATTAGCCAAATATAGGTACATCATCACTATGACCATATATAGGCACATGACCAAATATAGGCACATCATCACTATATATGGGCATACAAACCTTACCTGAACTCTGAATCTCATCACTGCTAACTGATGCTCCGGAGTGTGAGCTTGGACGTCTGAGGCTATTAATTCTACGAACGATTGCTGCCACCGTGCGACAATAGAGGGCTTTTGAGAGTCTTTTTCTCGTTTCATTCGCCTAAAAGTAAAACGTAAAATTTAATATTTCAAAATGTAAAAAGTATTGCAATGTTTAAATGATCAGATAGGTTCCCCTCAAATTAAAAGACCCCTCCAATTAAAGACCTCTTTTCTGTGGTCTCATATTAACAAATATCTTTATCTTTATTTTTATAATTAGAGACCAAAGCTGCTCCAAAAACTGGTCTATAATTGGAGGGAAACCTGTATATCTTAATGCAAATATCAACCAAGATTTCACTGACTAGAAGATGATATGATAAAAAAATAAAAACTAAATAAAAGTACGCCCGATGATGTCATCGCATAGTACAATTTAAAACCGACTTTCTTACCGTGTCAGCGTCACATAATGACCTAAACACCTGTCCTTTGAGATTGTGCGTTCTCGTTGTAAAGCCACGATACAGGACAACGCCAGAAACTCCAAGCAACGCAGCAACAGCTTTAATTTCTGTAAGGAAACACAAATTTTGTTTTTGATAGCAAGGTATTTCAATCATAACAAATTTTATAGTAGTTATATCTATTGTGATGTTGCTTTATAACATTTAGGAAGGATAAAAGAAAAAGAAGAACAACAATGAAAATCAAGTTAAATATCATTAAAATATTTTTATAAATTAGATTCAAACAAATCAAAATTAATAGTATAATAAAATAATTTCTAAGATAAATATATAAATACCTGCATTTCCCTTAATGTCCAGCTCAAATCCACCATCTTCAATAAACTCTATGTTGCCTAGCAAAAGTACAGCTGTCAGGACCCTGATGACATCAAAGAAGGGAATCCCAAGAACAGCCAGCGACGTCTATTAGGCCAAGTAAAAAAAAAAAGTAGTTACTTGTCCTAATATTTTGAAGAAAGGAGAATGAAGGACTTTTATTGTTGTTGTTTACTCTGAGATGGCAAATCAAAAATGATCGATGGGAAACAGCTTCTACTTTCCACGAACGATCGCGAGAGGAATTTTACTGATGCGAGCCAGATTTTCTTACATTTTTTAAAATAAAGGAAATATTTAAAAATAAATAAATAAAAAAATTTGGTGAGGCAGAGAATGGATGTGCAAGGGTATGAGAAACTAGTATTTTTTTTTTATTTAGCCTTTTAGAGATACAGTATTTTAGTATTAAATTAAAGGAAAAATATTTAACAAATTATCATCACAAACACCATTGACTGTACAGTGAGCAGTTTAGAAGGACGTAGTAAATCGTTCTTCATTATTCAGTGGCGGATTCAATGGGGGACTGCTAGATTCTTTTTTGTTCTTGATTTGTCCTTTTATTTTTTTGTGTTTTAATAGACTTTTATTTTATACCTTTTGAATGATTCAGATTCAGATTCTTTTATTGACATTACTAAAACCAAATAGTATTAGTGTCAAAATGAATGAATAAATTTTCAAAGGGAATTTCAATGTACTTTTTGAATGCATTTTCATATTTTAAGTGTAAATAACATGCAATTTGGCCCTTGGGTGGCCAAATTTGGCCCTTGGGTGGCCAGGATGTGTTATATTTTTTCAAGAATAACATGCGAAATATACTGTACCAGGAAAAGCTTAATCTCGTTGTTTTTGGTGTCACAGTGTACATATGTGATTATAGGGTGTAAGGGGCCCAATATGATGTATGAATTACTTTTAAAAATAAATAAAAACGATAATCCACGCAAAATACTCACTCTCCACTTTGTGAAGTTTTCAACATCAGCGGTCTCGTCCCTTGGTAGATTATTCAGATAATTAAGGTCTATTGGCGAGTATCCTTGGAGGTGCAATTTCACTGGAAAGAGAAAGTTTAATACGTTATATTCATACATTATATATTCATATATTACCTGTATAATATTCATAATTAGATAAATTTTTAAACTTTAAAAACATATTCATCTGCAAATCAAACAGTACTGTTCGAATATCTACAACCATCCGCATACATTTTCCTCACGATGGGTTTGCATGTGATTCGCATGTTGTAAGCTAATGAATAACTAATTAGGAAGAGTTCGATACTCAATCACGCATTACGGCATTGAGTAAAACGTTGTTTGTGGACTGCCGCGCTTTCAATTAATGAGTTGCGGCGAGATAGTTTACTCGTGAGTAAACAATGTAGCAACTCTCCTAGTTTAAAAACTAAGGAATAAATTGTTAGTATATTAATCCTTAATTAATCAAAACAATGGTTTCTTAACTTAAAAAAAAAATTGTAAAATAGATCGTACAGAAACAGCAAATTGTATGAAAGTAGGCCTTGGGCCTATCCCAGGCCATACAGTAGGTTTAGCAAAGCATACCCAAATGCTACACACGTTCTTAAAACTCGCACTGAAGAGTCATCCTACCCTTAAAACTATATAAACATCATTAAATTATATTATACATTTAATGTATACTATAAAACTCGTCAGAATTTATGGGAGGTTTACTTGGCGATATGACTTGTGTAGGAGCCTGTATAGTTCAACATCTAAAAGAACTTATCTCAAAAAAGAACGTCCAAATTTATGCAGGCCACAATGGGTTTCAAGCTTCCTCTGCCCCTCCTTTCACTATTCCAAACTAACTGTCTCAATTCGGCTAGGCCCGATGTTGTCCTGATTGATGGCCCCATTATATTATTGGGCAAACTTAGTTCCACATAATGCAAAAGAGAGTGTTAACAATGCAAAAATTAGGAAATCAAATAAATTTAATTATCTCCAACTCATTCAAGAAATAAGAGTAAAATTTTCTGAAGTGAGCTACGTCACTCTGGAAATATGTTCACTTGGTCATTCAATCAGTAAGGTCATCTAGCTTCAATATTCTTTGCGGTAAAAAATTGTCTACCTAATCAAAACATTGTTTCATCATGCGTGGACAGTTTTTGATTTAACTGCACAGTGAAGCAGAAGGCGCAACAAAAATATCATCACTTTCTCACCACACACTAAGCAGAGTGTTTTTCATAGCATTTGTTGTTGTTATAGGACTGCAGGAAACCCTATTGCTTACTATAGTCAAAGAGTTCATTTACTGGCCTAGATAGCTAACGAAACATACAAAATTTATACCAGCAAGCCCTATCTATTGAGCATCTGACATGACCCACTTTTTCTTTTATAGCAAATAGCTCATGAATAAACTGTTTATGTTACGTAAAAAACCACTCGCAGAATATCGTCTCTCAAATTTTACAGGGATTTCTCTCACTTTATTTTATTTTATATTTTATTCGGCTTTACACTGGCAACAGTACAAAAATATATATACTGTCTCTTATACACATCTAGATGTGTATAAGATACAGTAACAAATTTTATAG